CTGTTTATCCAATTTAATTGAACCTGATAATATCTTATGAACTGTTCCAGAGTGTAGTTTTGATACTGTCGTTACTTTTTTAACATGAAAGGTTGCAAGAGATGAAGATCTTAAGGAACAAATCGGGAAGGATATATATTTTGATCTTGTGGACCATGACAAAGTTCGCAGTTTCCGTATCCAGAAACAGACACCATTTCAACAGTTTAAGGTACTTGCCCGAGTATCTTTTATTTTTGTTTTCCAAAAAGGAAAGAAATAAGGGTATGTGAAAACGGTCTTTCTGGTGACTTGATTCTACCTTGGATGACGAAGAACAATTAATCTGGATTTCATGAGAGTTTTCAAAAGTCTACTGACTATAAAAGTTCTTTATATACTTGTAATTTAAACTTAAGCAACCGTCGACCTTCAATTTTTTGCTTATATAGGAGGAGGTAGCCAAAGAATTTGGTGTACCTGTTCAGTTACAGAGGTTCTGGATTTGGGCTAAGCGACAAAACCATACCTATCGTCCCAATCGCCCCCTTACGCCTCAAGAGGAATTACAACAGGTAATTTAATCCTTTTGAATGCTACTCATGCACGTAGTTTGCCTCTTTCTTCTGGATATGAGTTTATATAGAACTAATACTATAACTATTATAGAATCTGATAATCTGCTACCTATTTATTTGCTATACTAGAATCTCTACATGATTTTCCATTGTTTCAAGTTCTTTTAATCAAATTGTTTGGAGCCTTTTATTTCTTTAGATCAGAATTCCTAGCACAGGATTCTCTGTCTGTTTTGAAATGAATTTGCTTTGTTTATGAGGAGAACTTTATTTTTATAACGTTGAGAAGAGTCCCGTACTAATAAATTTATGTGTGTCATGTATTTTGGAAAATGGGTTTTGTAGGTTGGACAAATAAGAGAAGCATCTAACAAGGCAAACACTGCAGAACTAAAGCTTTTCCTGGAAGTAGAGCACCTGGTAAGAACGCCTGGTTGCAAAGTTTAATCATTGAAAGAAAAACAGAAGCTAATTGATCAACAGAAAAGATGAGCTAATTTTTTTCACGAATTCTTGAATAATTCAGGATTTACGTCCTATTCCTCCTCCTGAAAAATCAAAAGAAGATATTCTGCTTTTCTTTAAGCTTTATGACCCCGAGAAGGCAGTATTAAGGTAGTATTGTTTTCCCTCTTATTTATTCGCTCTGGCTTCCATATAATGTGGTCTACCACTACTTAAGTAACAATTATTCTACAAGATCGAAGTCTTTCTTCCCTTTTTTTTGTGATCAGAGAAATTCTATCCGTTTTACCTTCTTTTGTCCTTGTGTTTTATCCACTATACCTTGTTTTCTTTTGTAACTTTTTTTCTTGTGCTACCAGCTATGCAGGCAGGCTGATGGTGAAAAGTTCCAGTAAGCCTATGGATATAACTGGAAAACTGAATGAAATGGTTGGCTTTGCTCCTGATGAAGAAATAGAACTTTTTGAGGTTTGCAGCTGCTGGTGCTTCTTAACCTTTTTATCATGCTTATTGTTATTTATTATGTTATTTGACAGTTTTTGGGGCTTTATTACAGGAAATCAAGTTTGAACCTTGTGTTATGTGCGAACACTTGGATAAGAAAACTTCATTCAGATTGTGTCAAGTAATGTTTCACTTGTATCTATCTACTGAATCTTTGTGTCTCTTTTCTCTTTGATGACATTGTGTTTCTTGCTTGCAGATTGAAGATGGAGATATCATTTGCTTTCAGAAACCTCTAGTTAACAAGGAGATTGAGTGCCGCTACCCAGCTGTGCCTTCGTTTCTTGAATATGTCCAGAATAGACAGGTATAATTCTACTAAGCAGTGTTTCCTAAAGTTAAGCTTGGTAGAGTTAGACTAACAATAGCTTTCTAATGATAAGCTTTTTCTGAAGTGGCAATGTGTGTTTAATAATTTAATTAAGGCTGCACTGGTAGAGTGGTCTCAACTTCACTTTTCATAATATTTTATCAGAGCAAAATGTATACTGAGATTGTGCAAGTATTCCTTACTCTGATGTGTTTTCATAGCAAATTTGAGGATGTTCTGTAAAATTGTTTCTAGCTGGCATGATTCGGTTGGCCATTAACTATTTTCGATTTGTAATTTTGTAGCTGGTCCGGTTTCGTGCTCTGGAAAAACCTAAAGAAGATGAGTTTGTTCTGGAGTTGTAAGTACCTCTGTGGATGAATTTGTTTCAAGCTGATTTCTGCGATTTCATAATTTTTTTTATCTCTTAGGTCGAAGCTGCACACTTATGACGATGTTGTGGAAAAAGTGGCTGAGAAGCTTGGTCTTGACGATCCATCCAAACTTAGGCTTACATCTCACAATTGCTATTCCCAGCAACCCAAGCCTCAGCCTATCAAATACCGTGGAGTAGACCATTTGTCAGATATGTTAGTTCACTACAATCAGGTATTGACGTGAAGTTCAGCGTACTTCACTTATTTTTCTTACTATATAAATATAATACATGTTTGCTTATTGGATTTTTCTTTTTTCCAGACGTCTGACATTTTGTATTATGAAGTTCTGGACATTCCTCTTCCAGAATTGCAAGGTCTTAAAACCTTAAAAGTTGCTTTCCATCATGCCACGAAGGAAGAAGTATGTGTAGATTTTTGTTTGTGATTCATAGTCTTCTTTTGTATATTCGATTAACTTTCAAGCCTTTTGACCATCTCTACAGGTGGTAATCCACAATATCAGACTACCTAAACAAAGCACGGTCGGAGATGTTATTAATGAACTTAAAACAAAGGTGGGCTTTGGATTTAATGGATTTCTCAATAAAGTTACCCATTCAATGTTATGCAATTAAATCTGAGCTCTATGCCTGAATCAGGTGGAGCTTTCGCATCCAGATGCAGAACTGAGATTGCTCGAGGTGTTTTACCACAAGATCTACAAGGTAACAAGCAACTTTCTTATCTTTTACATTGTAGTCAATTTTTACATGATCCTAAGATGATGGCTTCTTGACTACTGTATCTCCTGATGATATTCTTATAACCCTTTGAAGTATAATGAACAATAATCCAATGTGCTGGTATGCATTGCAGATTTTCCCATCAACTGAAAGAATTGAGAATATAAATGACCAGTACTGGACTTTACGAGCTGAGGAGGTATATTACTAGGCTGCACCTTATATTTGTCTTAAATCTATCATCATAGCTTTTTGGTATCTTCCATGTCTTAGTGGTCTCGCTGTTCATTAGTGATTTTGGGATTTCAAAGTATACTTTTACCTCTGTTACTCTGTGATCTCAGAATGCAATATAGTTTTTAAATTCGGATATTAAACTAAAGAGATGTGATAGTTATTCCATGGATGAGTTATATTCTTAACAGACTAGGTCAGAATGTTTGAGGCGGACAGTATTTGTTTCTGGGGATTAATACATAGTTTGATGTGTCGTCAAGAACATAAATTAGCCAATTGTTTGAATATCTTATGCAAGTTGTCCCTGGTTATTAATCCATCCTTCAGAGATGTTGACTTACGTTTTCCTTAAATCTCAGATTCCGGAAGAAGAGAAGAATATCGGTCCAAATGATCGCTTAATTCTTGTGTACCATTTTGCTAAGGAGACTGGACAAAATCAGGTGATAATTAGTTATAAAGCTTTTGTTATTTTACAGTTACATGAGTTTTAGAGTGTTGAAGTGGCAAAGTGTCTTATCAGTATCATGTTTACTTGTTCCTCAGCAAGTGCAAAACTTTGGCGAGCCCTTCTTCTTGGTAATCCATGAAGGTGAAACTCTTGAAGAAATAAAGAACCGTATCCAAAAGAAGCTTCATGTATCCGATGAGGACTTTGCCAAGGTATGCACGACTGAGTAATGATCAAAGCTAAATCTCTGTCTGGCAGAACTGGTACAATATCTTAATACTTGATTCATTATGTAGTGGAAGTTTGCGTTTATGTCAATGGGGCGTCCAGAGTACTTGCAGGACACAGATGTTGTTTATAATCGCTTTCAGGTGCTTACTTTTTTTCTCCACAAATTTTATTGAAAAGCCCATGCTAATTATCTGAGATCTAACATTTTGTCTTCGGATTGAAAATGGTAAAACAGAGAAGAGATGTCTATGGTGCTTTTGAGCAGTACCTCGGGTTGGAGCATGCTGACACTACTCCTAAGAGGGCTTATGCTGCAAACCAGGTATAAGTTTTTTCTTCTAGTTATTAGATTCTTAATCAAAGTCCCTCTTTTGTTATTATTAACTTTTTTTTTTCTCTGTTTTGTCCTTGTAGAACCGCCACGCTTACGAGAAGCCGGTGAAAATATACAATTAGCCCCACAAAAAAGAACACAATGGTCAGTGAGACATTGTGGCAGCAACGTTGGACCAAGGCATTGATTGGACCAATGCATCGAATAAGGAGGGAAAGAGAGAGTGTGAGGGTGTGATGATGACCGTAGGATGTTGTAGAGAATCTGGTCTGATAGGGTTTTGGGTTGCGCGTTGATAGTGGTGTGTTTTCTATTATTATTTTTCCTATCCTTCTTTCTTTCGTGCTTCAATACTTTTGTGTTAATATCTGGAATGTGTGAAGACCATTGGCACATGCAATTTTTATTTTCCAAAAAAAAATATATGGAAGCCCTTCGCTTGGATTCGGGAGCGCGGTTTGGCTTTCAGAGTTTATAGAATACCGAAACATTTGTAATTTTAGAGATTGGGGTTTAAGAAGATTTTTGACTGAGGAAATTTGTATTCTTTTGCATTTTCAAATTTTATTATTGTTTCCATTTGCCGAAATCATATGAAATAGATTTTCAGTTCCCTGGTCGTGGGTGGGTCCCACATTTGGGGGATATGGCCAATTCAGACATAGACTATGCTCTTCTGAAACAGAGTTCCTGCTGGATGCAGCAATAACGATTATTTCAGGGAATGGAATTGTAACGTTTTGAGGACTTATCATAAGACATACTCATGCTACTTTTTCTGGTTAGAATTTGTTCAGAAAGACAAATCATACACAAATCAATAGAAACACAGTTCGGATGTGAAGATTTCCAAAACGCAAAGATCTCGTAAAACATTACTGTATATTGGATTACTATGCAACTCTATAAGATATAACACCATCCATTGTCTCAACCACAAGTCTCTTCATCCGCGTCAGCAGTAACGTATACGCTTTCTCCTTATGGCCTGCAATACAAACCATCATCATTGTCTATGCAACAGATTTTTTGTTTGTGAATCTGAAGATATCAATTGAAGATCCTAGTTTTTACATCTATAGTCTGGTTCAAGAAAATACTGACTTAATATGATCAACCTAGTGCTAGTGCTGCTACAAGCAGATGTGATGAGGGAAATATGAACCTACCAAGTCCTAGAGTCGGAATCTCATCTGCTCGGAAGTAGTAAGATCCGTTTATTTCTTTCTTGCTATCAAGGACCGAGTTGAATTTCTTTACGGCACTGAGCAGATCCTGGAAACATAAGCAAGCAGGCATCAACCATATTTAGGAAATTATTAAGGGAACAAAACGTTCAACCCATTGGGCATAGATATTATTAAGACTTGAGTCTGAATTCTAGTTTTTGAAAGAATGGTAGAAAATATGTGAGGCTAGAGCATGAAATATGGATTCACTTAACCAGGCAAATTATACTTTGCATGGCAATAGATTGGTTCAATTCTTAATATGCTGCTAGGATATGTTCTTAAATGTTAGCTAAAAAGTTGAACATTTAATAGAATACGAGAATTTGGATATTTTTCATACCTCCCACGATGCTAGAGACTTCATGAAAGAGGGAAGACTATCATATTCTTCTTTTATCAATGTTAATGTAGGCCCTGAAGTTCTATCCATCTCTAGTGTTGCATACTCATCTTCTGCATGCAACAAAGTCTAACATCATATACCATAGACTAATGCAACTCACTGACAATGCAAATCACACTAGTAAAGGATTGGAAATAACCATTGGAAAGCTCTGACGCCTTTGGAGCAGGTAGAGCACTTGTGTCAAATGGTTTGCTCCTATATCATAAGAAAACTTGCTAATGTACGACTAAGAGGGAAACACATAAGGATTTCTTTATTTCTTAGACATCACACTTACTTCACTGATTCTTTCAAAGACGTGTCAGGATCCTTTACATTATCATTCACTGGCAACAGTTGGAAAAGAACACTAAGAACATGACCAAAGTAGGAAAACCATCTAGGACATCCTCAATCCCAGAAATCATATATACTTTATCAACAGTAGAGAATAACGTTACCTTCTGTAGCTAAATATGCAAGACAAGCATCTGATAGCCCAAGGTTCTTCAAATTTAGTGAATTATCTAGACTAGGAAAACATTAAGGTAAAATCATTTAAAACAACATACCTTATTTCACACCTTGTGATAACAAAACATTATGATTTGATTCGGATGACAAAAGAAACATGATTTAAAGCTTCTTATTGTCTGGCTGATAAGCAACTACTAGAAAATCCTAATATTTTCAGTAAGGTTAAAAAAGGATACAGATTGTCCTCGTCTAATCCTTTTTTGATTGAACATTGCAATGAATAGGAATTTAAATCATCATTCGAATGCTTTGAATCCTCATGACCAAATGCTCCAAAGCCAGATTCTTTATCTCCTCTACCTTCATCAATCTCAATTTCTAGGTCCAAAAACAAAACAAAAATCTGATAAAAAATCTCAACTTAAAATCGACAAAAGGAAAGAAGAAGACAAAACGAGTACCAGGAACATAGCCAAAATCTGTGAGCCGGTCCTGGAGATGCAAAAGATCGTCTTGATTATTCTTGTAGATCTGACTACAGTGACCCAGAAGCTCCTCGAAGGAGACTGTACCAAAAGACATGGATTCCAGAAAATTGAGCTCGGAAGCTGCGGTAGAGATTCGACGATTGAGACCCTTGATGAACGTGGATGACGCCGAATCTGCCAAAATCGAAAAATTCAATTTTTAGGGTTTATGACAAAAATCGGAGGAGAAATGGGGACAAAAGAGAGAGCGGAAGAGACCAAGAGGAATAGGGCGACGCTGGAGAGAGTGATCGAAAGCATCACAGCTACTTTGAAGATGATTGCAGAATCCTCCTAAGCTTTTGCTCAAACTCTTGAGCTCTTCCTCCATTTCTAAAGCTTTCGTCTTTGGGCTATCTCTGATCTCTCTCTCTCTCTCCCACTTTTGTCTCCGATTTTTGTTTTCGGCGGGAATTAGAAGTTTCCCGGTTTAACATCATATGTTAGAACCAGTGTGATTGATATTCGTAAACCGGAGATATATTGTGAGCGGTTTTTTAATTGTCGCGGTTTAATGTCACGGTTTAGAGCAGATGAAGATACAAAGTAATTTATAATTTGTTGAGCTGGCTTCTCCATTCTCAATCTCTTTGGCTGTGAAATCATCCACAGTCCATGGCTTTCTCTTCGAGGTTCGCTCGTTCTAAAGCAGTTCTCTCTTTTTTCCGGCCTTGTCGTCAGCTCCACTCGACGCCCAAGTCAACCGCTGACGTGACCGTAATTTCTCCGGTGAAGGGTCGCCGGAGACTCCCAACTTGGTGGTCCAGCTCTCTTCTCCCATTGGCTATAGCTGCCTCCGCCACTTCTTTCGCTTACCTGAATCTGTCGCATCCTTCTATCAGTGAATCATCGGCTTTGGATTCAAGGTTCGTCTTTTTTTTTTTTTGTATATAAAAATTGATACTTTGAAGTCAACAAAAGTATCCAGAATTGTTTCATTACTCGTTTTCAATTCTCTGCAGAGATATAACTGTTGGTGGGAAAGGTAGCACTGAAGCTGTTGTTAAAGGGGAATACAAAGAAGTCCCTAAGGAGCTTATTTCTCAATTGAAAACAATCCTCGAGGTATTCCAAATTTGCCTTTGTTCCTCTATTCTTCTTTTGAACAGTTCCTTGGTTCTCATGTATTTGGAAGTTTCAGACTTTTTCTTCTGTGGGGAACTTATCTTGTTGAGTTTCATTGCCTATTTATTTCATTGTGTTTTCAGGATAACTTGACAACGGACCACGATGAGAGGTACTTCCATGGGAAGCCCCAGAACAGTTTTCACAAGGCAGTTAACATTCCTGATGTTGTTGTTTTCCCTAGGTGAGACTACTAATTGCTGCAATGCTTTCGCCAATTCGCCAACTACATTTATCACTAGTTGAGAATGGTTCTGGTTGTAAGTAAGACTGTGGCAACTTAGTGCCGTGTATTCGCTCTGTTATTCTTTTTTGCTTTGTCGTTGAAATTATAAGCGAATAAAAGGCATTGATCTTCATCCTCTCTTAAATATGTTTAGGTCTGAAGAAGAAGTCTCCAAGATTCTTAAATCCTGCAATGAATATAAGGTTTGTAAGAAGATTCAGTGCTCAGTCTTTTCCAATCTAGTCTTGGCCAACATGCTCTTCTCCTTGGCATATATAGCTTCCTGGTGGATTGATATATCATTTGCTTTTTGATTAGGTTCCTATTGTACCATATGGTGGGGCAACATCGATTGAGGGTCATACCCTGGCTCCAAAAGGAGGTGTGTGCATTGACATGTCATTGATGAAGGTATGTGCTAATCTTGTGTGTTTGACATTAGTGTCCATGATTTTCATTTTAAACATATTCTTTTGGTGTCACGCAATAAACAAATTTGGTGTTTGATTCCATGAACCTGCTACATTTGTATAGCATGACAATTTTAAATGTTGTAACTCGTTTCCTTTGACATGCATATCCAACCTCAGCCTAACTCGATAAAACCTCCAAATAACTCTCAAGCTTGGATGAGTCTCACAAACGAGACCTCATCCTTGTTTACACAATAAAACGTAAAATTGGAACACTCTATGAAAAGGTAATAAGGAAATGTAAATCCTAAATCATATCCTAAATCAGAAAATAGAAAGAATGTGCATCACTTATAGTCCACATACAAAGGTTAGTGAAATTTGCCACTCCTGCTCACACTTCTTTCAAACCTTAGAGGGTGAAAGCATTACATGTGGAGGATATGGATGTTGTTGTTGAGCCTGGAATTGGTTGGCTGGAGCTTAATGAATATTTGGAAGAATACGGTCTATTCTTTCCTCTTGATCCAGGTTAGCCAACATTGAGATAGTACCTTATCTCTCAGATCATAGCTTTCATATTAATTCTTTTTTTTCGAACACATTTTTAGATTTAACTGATAGTATTTTATGTGAACGTCAATTTACCCTTACGAGAGTTTTTTTGCTGTTGCTGCATCATTCAACATCTTTAGCATTGTGTTCAATTGACTCTCGAACTTCATTTTCCATGTTTCTGGGTTGCATTCAGCAATTTGATAAAAAGAATCTGGTGCAGGACCTGGTGCCTCCATAGGAGGAATGTGTGCTACGCGTTGCTCTGGCTCTTTAGCTGTAAGGTAGTTCTTCTGCACTGTTACTATTCCCTTGTTTGTTTTCCCATTTTTTGCCGTGTATTCTAGGGGTGCTTTAATCCGGTTGGCTATGATAATTCTGCTACTAGCTTGTAGGTATGGAACTATGCGGGACAATGTTATAAGCCTTAAGGTTTGTTGTTTCTTCCACTGATTCATGCCCCATTGTATAATTCTACATTATTTATGCTATGCTCATTTCAGGTGGTTCTTCCTAATGGAGATGTTGTGAAGACAGCTTCACGTGCCAGAAAGAGTGCTGCAGGGTTTGTCTTCAATCTACAACTATTTTCTTGGTTCTTTGTTTGGATTTCATTTTCTTGGAGATAAAAACTATAATTAAAAAATGAATGGTATACTTCCAGTTGTTTGAATACGTATCATTTGAGTTAATGCTTGATACTTGTTGGAATGGTGTCTCAGATATGATTTGACTCGCTTGATGATTGGGAGTGAGGGTACTTTAGGAGTCATTACTGAGATTACTCTCCGGCTTCAGAAAATCCCACAGCATTCAGTGGTATATTGACTTCTTCCTCTATAGTCAATTTCGTTCATTTATCTTTTGAGTTCTAGTTCAGCTCCTTTGCTGTGTGATTTTAGTTCCTCCTTAAAGGTTGAAATTGAGTTCAATTTTTTTTTGCAAACAAATCCATCTTTAGTTTTCATGCCTTACCAAACAAATCATATATGCTTATTAGAGTTCCAAATATCTTTGCTTTGGCTTAATTTGTCTCTTTGCTTTTACATCTCAATTCTTTCACTCCTAGCAAAATAAGCAGAGTAAAATATTAAAAAAAGAATCTGAAGCATTTCAAGGAATAGTGAAAGTTATGTGCTGTGTGGACCCTTGTTTCCCTGGCTTTTGTTTTGAAAGACTTCCTGCTTTATAATGTTCTTAGGATGGTTCTTGGGTATGGATGTACATAATTTTAACATTCAAGAATGTAAAATACATTACAGAACACCTTTTGTCCTCATTAGCTATGCAATAATTTTAGGTGGCAGTGTGCAATTTCCCTACAGTTAAAGATGCTGCAGACGTGGCTATTGCCACTATGATGTCTGGAATACAGGTTAGACCTCTGCTTTTGAATTATATGATTTAAATTTTTATTAGAATCTTCTCAACCGTACCTTAATCCCCATCAGGTGTCAAGAGTGGAGCTCCTTGACGAGGTTCAAATCAGAGCAATTAATATGGCAAACGGGAAAAACTTGACTGAAGCTCCAACTCTGATGTTTGAGTTTATAGGAACAGGTGATGCTGCATCATATTTCTTGTACTTTCCAAGTGGTATTTCAAGCTATCTAAGATTATACATCTCTTATAGCGGTATAATACTCGTTGTTATAAACAATATCTGTAAGAAATTATATTCACTCCCCTCTATCTTCTATTTTATCCGATTACAGGATTCTCATGCTGAGTGTTGCCATTAGACACATAAAGATAGAATTGTTGTCTTCTAATACTCTGAATCATTTTTTTCTTGTCCCTCTCTCTCTCTCTCTCTCTCTCTCTCTTAGAGGCATATACACGTGAGCAGACGCAAATTGTTCAGCAGATTGCTTCAAAACACAATGGATCAGACTTCATGTTCGCAGAAGAACCTGAAGCAAAAAAAGAACTCTGGAAGGTAATTCTCTGTCCCAGTCCCAACACTTTTCCCCTTCAACCTTCCAGCATATGAGAAGTTGAAAAGAAGGGAAATATGTACTTGTTGTTGTTGGTGTTGGTGTAGTGTATTCTTGCTCTGTAGACTCTTGCAAGTGGTAATGTTTCGTGATATAGTCCATTTTTTATCTTTTGACCATCCGGGTTATGCTATATTACCAAATGTGAAAAAAACATTTTCTGGAGATTTTCATTATAGAGAATGAGGCTATGCGGAAGATATAACTCTACATTTATTACACTGTCGTTTTCTTCTAATAAGATTAAGTTACCAAAAGATTTTCTTTCCTGACTCCTTTTTTATGCAGATAAGAAAGGAGGCGCTGTGGGCTTGCTATGCTATGGCGCCAGGTCATGAAGCAATGATTACGGTGTGTTGCTTTCCTTAGATACACTTTGGTTTTAGATGAACTTTTCCAGCTACAATCAGAAACCCTCAAATACATACCATAGATCTTTGGTTTACTTTTTTATTTTAATTTATAAGGTCATACATCAAAGAATCATCTTAATTATTTCTTCTACAGGATGTCTGTGTCCCTTTGTCTCACCTTGCAGAACTAATATCAAGATCCAAAAAAGAGCTTGATGCATCATCGTTGTTGTGGTATGTTACTTTCCTGTGCTCAACATCATGACATACTAAGTTTTAACGTCCTAAAAAGTGTATGTTGTTGCTCTACTTTCAGTACTGTTATTGCTCATGCCGGGGATGGAAACTTTCACACATGTATTATGTTTGATCCGAGCAATGAAGACCAGCGAAGAGAAGCAGAAAGGCTAAACCACTTTATGGTTCACAGTGCACTGTCCATGGATGGTAAATGCCTTTTCCATTCTCTGTGTGTTTGCAAAAGTGCAAGACTGTAACAGCTGTGAAGCTTTTTAACATATTCTCTGAGCAAAACCGAAAAGCAAAAGTATTAAAGATGGGTGAAAATCATCAACAAATAGATTAGATATGTTGCAAACAAGTCAGGCCTAGCATTTGATTTATTACCTTTTAACAGAGTGGTGCTTGTTAGATTTAAGTTGACTTGCATTTTCTTTACTCTCCTCTCTTCCACTAGTGTGCATGTGACTATTATTTACAACGTGTATATCCTCGTTCCCGGATTTAGAAAATATGATTGTAATGATGGCACTTGGTTCTGATCTTTGTTATCAGGAACATGTACCGGAGAGCACGGTGTTGGAACAGGAAAAATGAAGGTATATCTTCTTCTACTCATAGCATGTGTCTTGTATTACATTGATATGAATGTCCATTTGTGATTTAAACGGTTTTTTTGGTTGACACCATGGAAGTATCTGGAGAAGGAACTGGGAATAGAAGCACTGCAAACTATGAAGAGAATCAAGAAAACGTTGGACCCAAACGATATCATGAACCCGGGAAAGTTAATTCCTCCTCATGTATGTTTCTAAAATGACTTGTGTGTTCTTCATGTAACTTTTGTTAAGTTAAAACTTAAAACATGTTGTGTTGTTCTGTGTAACACAGTTGTATCTTTGGTCTACATTTAAGTACAAAACAGCTGATGCAAGCAACTGCATCCGTTTACTTGTGAGCAAGTGGTAATCTAAGGAAAGCTGAGAGCGACGTGTTGTGTATCTTCTTCAAGCACAGTCTCATATCTAAGTGCATCTTCTAGTTTTGACAAACCCATAAGAAAGAGGTCGATAGGAATGACCAAGTCACATGAGACGAATCAGCCGCAAAACAATTAAAACGTGGGCTCCCTTAAAAGATTTTTGAGATATACAACATCTATCTCCCGACTTGATATGACCAAAGTACCCTTTGTTACTTCCCTCTATATATTTATGTCACATGACACTAATACATATATCCAAAACCAAAAGGGAGACTAATTAGAGGAAGAATGGGGTCACTAGGAGAAGAACCACAAGTAACAGAAGACTGCATGGGTTTGCTTCAACTCCTAAGCAACGGCACCGTTTTAAGATCCGAGAGCATTGACCTTATCACTCAACAAATCCCATTCAAAAACCACCAAACCGTTCTCTTCAAAGACTCAATCTATCACAAACCAAACAATCTCCACCTCCGTCTCTATAAACCCATTTCTGCCTCCAACCGTACCGCCCTCCCTGTTGTGGTCTTCTTCCACGGTGGGGGATTCTGCTTCGGCTCACGTTCTTGGCCTCACTTTCACAACTTCTCTGTAACTCTTGCATCTTCCCTTAACGCCCTTGTGGTCGCACCGGACTACCGGCTAGCACCCGAACACCGTCTCCCGGCTGCCTTTGAGGATGCCGAGGCGGCTCTCACATGGCTCCGGGACCAAGCTGTTTCCGGTGGTGTGGACCACTGGTTTGAAGGTGGAACAGACGTTGACTTTGACAGGGTTTTTGTTGTGGGTGATTCTTCCGGTGGGAACATGGCTCATCAACTCGCTGTCCGGTTCGGCTCCGGTTCAATTGAGTTGACACCTGTTCGGGTTCGCGGTTACGTTCTTATGGGGCCGTTTTTTGGCGGGGAGGAGAGGACTAACTCCGAGAATGGCCCCTCTGAAGCTTTGCTCAACTTGGATTTGCTTGACAAGTAAGCTAACACAACACCTTTCTATATTTTAATTTTCTTTTTAGACGTACCACCGAATATTTTTAATTTAAAACACTAATTATATACAAGTTCATTGAATTACTAGTTATGCATGACTTCATTGTTTATATCCCTAATTAACTATTAACTATTTTATTCAAATATATATGCATAGATGTCGTTTTCGGTTACTTTAATTTCATATTATCTTCTTATGCGAGTAATGCCAATTTAAACGTTGGAGTGAATTGCCGAGTCGCATGACAGAGAAAGCTATAGTCACAGTGCCTCTTCATGAATACACAGATGTGTATACCTTTTTTCAAAAACTTCGCAAAATTTTTACAGACTAATTTCATGTGTTCATAGTCGAATATGTAAATACATGAGGATAAGTTTCTCATAATCCGATATGTAAATGAAAAAAGATTCCTTTAACCGAAAGATACTTTTTAAATGTTTTTATCAAAAACATATATAAAAATATTACAATCCAATTCGCAACTAGTTCAAAGGATCAAAAACATATATAAAAATATTATAATCCAATTCGCAACTAGTTCAAAGGAGTAGCTATGTTCTATGGCACACAAAAAAAAAACACAAACTTTCTAAAGAAAACGACTTTTCGTACCAAAGAAACATTTATTTTCATTAGAACCATTCACCAACTAACCAACGGTCGACAGATGATATATAGTGATATATTTTCATATATCTTTTTCTCTTTTGATAAATTCAAAGTGAAAATAATTTTAATTTTGATTGATTTTTATCGGCTAATAAGACGTACGTATGATTTTAGCCCATCACATGATTGTTATAATAATACGTCACAAAAACTAGTCAATGTGCTTAATCTACTAATACTCCACTATTTGATTCGTCTCAAATCATTCAACATTAAAAATGGCTTTTCAAATATTGGGGTCTTCCATCACAGTGGACACGAACAGCCCCGGCTCAGATGGGTAGGGCGGAAGTGCGACGGCCCGGGGCTTTTTTTTTTATAAAAAAAATTTACATATAAAAAGGCCCAAATATTTTTTTAAAATATTATTAATATGAGAATTATATTTTAAGAGGCCTAATTATTTATAAGAAAATGTATAAAAAGGCCCAAAATTTTTAAAATAACAATTTTTACTATAAAAACTCCGCAAAATTTTTAAAAATTAAGTAAATTTTCTCTTTGTATATAATAATAGGCAAAAAAAATTTTTTTTGCCCTAAGGCTCTCAAATATATTGAGCCGGGGCTGGACACGAATGGGTCTTGAAAAAAACATCCAGTAGATGAACGACAACTTAGAAAGTATCTTCATTAGCAAAAACAAAAACAAAAAAAAAAAAACAAAAAATCGGGCCTTGTGGCAAATGGGTCACAGCTGTGATTTCCGCCACCAAGGTTCGAGGCACGGCCACTTGCAGGTTTACATAGGGGAATTGCCAGCCTTGTGGGATTAGTCCTTGGGCCTAGGAAGTTTTTGGAAGACCCGCGGTTATTAAAAAAAAAAAAAAAAACAAAAACAAAAACTTAGAAAGTATCTTGTGTGGAAAGTAATTGAATAAGGAAAACCAAAAGAAACTTGAAAAATATCATGACAACCAATTAGAGACCCTACCATTTAACGAGTCTACATGATTGTACTAATTCATGAATTTTTTTTTTCCCTTGAAAATGGTCTAAATCTAGATGCACTCAGAACAAATAATCCGTTATAGCTACACAAATATAAAAATGTATAAAACTACACGAACATGGAAGTAATTAACTGGTTCGTTATAAACATGTTTGAATTGTTAGTCAATTTGGATGATTTTTTTTTTGAAAAATATATTTGATTAGTTAGCAACTATCTCAAATTCGACTATACAATTAGTTAACCAAGTTGTGGTGGATTGATAACTCCCGCTTGAGATGTGGAGTCTCTTTGTAGGTGTAAGTTAGGGATCGATTATCCTTATGTCATTTTTGATTAGGTCATTGTTCATTTTATGAATAAATGGATTAGTGGTTGATGGAATAAACAGATAATCAGATATCAAGAACAGTGGCTAATATATTTGGAATGGAGATAGTGCGTCATGCATTATCCTCGTTTTCCTTTTTCATCTCTGCTTAATTTGCGTATGGTTTTTTTCCTGAGTCGTGACTATCATTGTACACAATAGATTAAACCAAATGCAACTAATCTCTCACATTTATAAAAGTAATTTTTAGCATACTCGAAAGTGTATATTCATGTTTATCAACGCACGTGGAATCATTGGGATCACATATCATTTCAAGTCTTCTCTCCAATTGATTGTTTCTCTTGTTATGTTTGAAAAATGAGATGATTGACCCGTCTTGTTCATGGCCATTGTCATAAAGCTATATGTATAGTAAATATTGGTATCGTCAATTTCAATATATTATAATATGAGAAGAAAGAGAAAAAGGGGCTAAACTTTTAACTTCTTGAAGGTTTTGGAGATTGTCACTACCAAAAGGTGCCATAAGAGATCATCCCATGGCTAACCCTTTTGGACCGATGAGTCCAACACTCGAATTAATTAGCATAGAGCCAATGTTGGTGATTGTCGGCGGCTCAGAACTCTTGAGAGATAGGGCCAAAGAGTATGCATATAAATTAAAGAAGATGGGAGGAAAAAAGGTAGATTACATTGAATTCGAAAACGAGGAGCATGGTTTCTACTCGAACAATCCATCTTCCGAGGCTGCAGAACAAGTTCTTCGTACTATTGGAGACTTTATGAACAACTTGTTTTAATAGCATTTGGCCTTTTGAAGGTAACTAAGTGTTTAATTCAATTAGGATTCCATGTTAATAAGTTTGCTTGGTGATTGGTGAATCATATATATATACACGCATACAATGTTATTGGTTTGGTTATATATTGTCGTTCATCATATCCGACCTTAAATGGTATATTCATCAGTAGTTTCTTTTTCGGACGTTTTTTCTTATCAACTCTTTGCCAAAAGAAGTATGTCCAAGTTTATCTTATTACATATAATGTACGTTCTTCTTTACGCAAGGTGTTTTGTCTTAAATATAATAGGTATATACAATTCTAGATATGAAAATAGTCTAAAATACGCTATTTACGACGAAATATATCAAGTATAGCATTCCCCAATATTCTAATGAACTCGTTATATCCATCTAAACAGGATCTCCTCCACTACACTAATCTAATCCAGTTTTTAGACGAGGTTCAGTTTGTTTCGTATTACTTTTTGTAAGGCCACTCGTTTATATCGCAACTTTCAATCCATATACGACCATTGTTTTAACCAAAAGAAAAAAGAAGAAAACAGCATGTTTATCCAAGAATAAAAAGTTAGTTAGTCTCATGATGTTAATCAAGTAAACAGTTTCATAATTATATTTTTAAATAAGAAGAAAAGAGAAAACAAATTGTGAAAACGAGAGTATTTTTTTATGTAATGTATATAAGACTATAAGTAGGCCATGTTGACCTGGTAAAGCTTCAATGTCGACGGCCCAATCCTTCCACTCGGAACCATCCAATAAACGTTGACGCTTTCAACAATATTAAAGAAGAGTTTATCTTATAAGAAACATCCTATCTTTTATCTGACCAAAAAAATAAAAATAAGAAACATCCAAAAAACCATTGCATTAGCCCAAACGTTGAACAAAAGAAAAGTCTCCCCAAACAAAATCTTCGTACGGTTTTATTTTTAGTCAAAGTAAGTTAGTTCTCATTAACTCCTTCAGATCAAACCCTTTGTCTATGAATTCATAAAACTCGACCGCCTATATTTGTATATATAGTTGACAACGTGACTGTTCTATTCACGAATCACCTTAATGAAAACAATCACTATATAGGTCAGAACTGTACTAGTTTAAAATTAAAACTGACTGTTGGTGCATAATCTACTTGATGTCAATAGTCTTGGACTAGTCTCAAAGCTGGTACCTCCAATTAATGAACCATTAACAGTTTTGGACTCATGATCTCTACTTAATAGACTTTTCACCATTAAGTTTGCTATATCACATATCTTTCTTGAAGAACTCATCTAGGTAAAAAATCTCTTATATATAGATCTCTACTTCATTCCACTTTGACAAAAAACCTCTTATAGATATAAATTTTGAAAGAACTTATTATTGACCTAAAAAATAACTAAATTATGCTGCTTTGAATTTTCTATATAATGATCATTTAAATTATTATAATATATATGAACTTGATAAGAATAATAAAGCTTTCAATTTGTTTGTTTATAAAGAAAAACATGGTCCCTCTTTTTGGTTGGGAATATTCAAGAAAAAGAATATTTACATATTATTATATATAGACAAATATATTTACCTTATCATATAAGATCACAGGAATCGAAACGATAATTACAAATTCGTGTAATTTACAAATATAGCAATTGGTTGATACAAGAGGCATCTAAATCTAATAAGAATATCTATCTAAATAAAATTCCAGATTAGCTGACCTGTACTTTCCGCAGGTAAAAAAGACACCTCATCTAACCAAGATCTCATCCGTTGATCTTAACCCAAAACTTAATCCTCACCGTTTATTTATCTCTCTTAGTAAAAACTCGGTTTTTACCAAAAATAACCTTAAGAGCCGTCGTCGTCGTCGTCGTCGTCATTGTGGGCACGAGACCGAGACTCCATGGAAACCAAAAAGCCTTTCCTCGATTTCAAAATTGAAAGATAAAAACAGAGAGCTCTAGGGTTTCAGATTAACCAGAGGGAAACGACGAAGAAGAAGACCAATTCTCTCTCTTTTTCTCTTCTCTTTCGTTTCGTTTCCACGATTTGTTTTTTCTTTTTTACTTCTCTTTTTGCTTTTGCTTTTCGTTTACCAGAAAGAAGCGAGAAAAGAAAGAAATTATAGGTGGGTCTGTTATTTTCCCGGAAGTTATCATTGAGAATTCAATAAGAGAAGGAGATATCATTAGCTTCCAATTGTTTTAGTTTCCTGGAAAAATTCAGACTTTTGGGTTTAGTTTACGTGTTCTTGGTGGTTCAACGGTAAGGTAAAGCTCTCGATTTTGCGATGTTATGTTTACTCTGTCCATGAAAGAAGCTTCTTTTCTAAGCGATCGTTTTACATTGAATAATGTTGTTGAGAATTGACTTTTCTACAGGAGCTATATTGGCGCTAGTTTTCGCTTTCGGATCTGGACTACGGAGATAGGTTTTGGTGATTGTTACTATGTATTTGTGCCATAGCCTGGGATTGCGAATTTGATACTGTTTCAAGTTATGGATTTGGCAATTGTATCTTCCCCTAGGGATGTGGTTAGATGTTGTGATTGTGGATGTAGTTGCTCTCTAAATGATGCTTCTCCGGGTTCTTTGCTTCGGTCTGTGAAGAGAAAATACGAGGAATTTGAGAATGAGAAACCATTTCACATACCGGAGCTGGAGCTGGACTTGTCTTCCAATGCTAAAGTCCAAATTGAGAATGAATTGGAGCTGCTTAGGGAGACTGTTAGCAGCCAACAGCAGTCGATTCAAGATTTGTATGAGGAGCTTGACGAAGAGCGGAATGCTGCATCGACAGCTGCAAGTGAGGCAATGTCTATGATATTGAGGTTGCAGAGGGAGAAAGCTGAACTCCAAATGGAATTGAGACAGTTTAAGCGGTTTGCTGAGGAGAAAATAGAGCATGATCAGCAAGAGCTTTTGGATCTGGAAGATTTGATATATAAGAGGGAGCAGACAATTCGGGCTTTGACTTATGAAGCTCAGGCTTATAAGCATAGAATGATGAGTTTTGGGCTCACTGAGGACGAGGTTGAAATGGAGAAAAACATGCTTAGCCGTAACCCGAGCATGATCGACAATGATTACCAATATGATCTCCCTACATCTGATTACCCTCCTATAAAGTGCAATGTGAATGAAAACCCAGGTCCCCTGGAGGCTGATATTGATGTTGATGATGTTGAAAAGTATCCATTGGCTGATTCACCTCATGGCCGGGATAATTTGAAGACTTTGGAACGAAGGATAAGTCAGATGGAGAGAAATCCTAGCTTTACTCAGCCTACTGGTGATGTATCTGGAGGGAGATATTATACGGAGAAGATGGTTGTTGGTCAGAGTCCTAGGCATCAGAGACACTTCAGGAGGGTTTCCACTGGTAGTTCAAGTTCACTTTTGGGAACAACTAGGGAACAAAGGCCTGACTTTTCCAATGATTCCCCAAGGTCCAACAATGGTAGCTTCAAAAAAATGGAAGATCCCTCATATGCAGCTGGTAATTCCTTTGCAAAGGATAAGGGTGACTCATCGGAAATAGGAGATAATGACATGAATGATAGAGTTTATACCATTGACTCTGTCCATCAAGGCGTATCTCATAGTGGTGCTGCTGAGCAAAAGTTTAAGAATGACACGGCTGATGGTTATGTGATGTCTCCGAGAGAAATATCGAATCAACCGGATCTGGGTGATCCTGATATATCGAAACTCTACATGAGACTTCAAGCACTAGAGGCTGACAGGGAATCAATGAGACAGGCGATTATGTCGATGAGGACTGAGAAAGCACAGATGGTTCTGTTGAAAGAAATTGCCCAACATCTGTCAAAGGATGTTGTCCCAGAACGTAGATTGCCCCTGCGGAAAGCATCTATTGTTGGAGCATTCAATTTCATATCTGTCTTTAAGGTGATTTTGTTTCTTAGATTAGTCAGTGGGTTATGACCTAGTTTAGCACATAACATACTGATAAGAATCAACTTGTACTAAAGTTTCTGCTGTATAACTTTGCATCCACATTAACTGATTCGTCTTATTATTCCTGTGCAGTGGATCACATCTTTTGTTTTCTGGAGAAAAAAGGCTCGTCGAAGCAAGTAAGTGAACAGTCTTAAACTTTGATTAGCTTGTTGCTTCTCATACCTTTTATCTGAGTTTTGAGTTTCTAGTATTATAAACGAGTAAGATCCTTGTATATGCATGCAAAGATCTTTTTCAAAAAAAAAAAAACTATTTGCTCATCCTCGTGTCCAAATGGTGTAAATGCAGATACATGAACGGGGTGCAAGGGAACAACATGGGATTGCAAATGCTTCTAGAAAAGACTCCTCGGATACGGCAATGGAGATGTCTATCAAGCACACAAGTGTGAAACAGATCACATTCTCAAATTTGGTTTGAAGGGCATAATGTGAATTACTTTGTGAAAAGTAGGTATTGGGAGCATTGTGCTTACTCTGTCCATCTCATTCATGGTTTTACTGAGGAAAATGGTTTCTCATGTGCAGTTTTTTTTTTTTTCTTTCCTTTTAGTATTTGCCATATTTCATTTGTTGTGGCTGTGGGGTTGGAATGGCTTGAATGGGGTTTGATGATTGTCTAAAGAGATGGGTGAGGCTACACGAAAAGCACGTCTTGTTCTTTCTATTGTAAGCTGTGTATAATGTTTCCAGATTCTTGTTTGAATTTCTCTGGAAAGAAAAAACAAACAAAAAAATCAGATTATTTCGGTTTTCTCTCTCAAACCCCGGTTAATGGAACTTGGTATTGTCTTGATCCTCAAGTTCTCAATTCTTTACTAAAACTATCACCATTCAAAAGATCATTTTTGTCAAATTTTAGAAGGCAATAATCAAATTGTGTAATCAATGATGATTCTACATTAGCAAAATTCTACTTCAGTAATTAGTTTTTACGGTTGAACCGGTTCAACCCAAGATATTTTCAACCGGTTAAAGATATGAACCCTCGCGGTTGTTAAAACCCAAAACCCTCGCCGCTAAAGCTGATGTTCCGTCAAACATGCCAAAGTACAAGAATCTGTTGCTAACCTCGAAGCGACGTAAATCGAAATTCAAAAAACAAAAGCTACATCAGCATGAACCTGAGTCTCTGTTTCCAGAGAAGGAGGTAGAAGAGGAAGATGAAGATGAAGGAGGCTTCAAGCTGAAAATTGCAGCTCCTTCTCAAGAGCATGGAGTTCAACCTCTCGGAAACCTGTATTTCAATCCTGGTTCGGTCAATGTGCGAAACACTGGATTAGGTAATCTCCAGATACTCTCGGATGAGCTCGTTTTGGATATTCTAGGTCTTCTTGGCGCGACTCATTTGGGTATTTTGGCTACTGTAACCAAATCTTTCTATATTTTTGCCAATCATGAGCCTCTCTGGAGAAATCTTGTGTTGGAAGTGCTAAAAGGAGAGTTTTTGTTTAATGGGTCGTGGAAATCTACCTATGTAGCTGCTTACCACCCGAAATTCCAGTTTTCTGGAGATAGTGAATCGAATTTGAAGATTATAGATTTCTATTCTGATTATTTGTTTCAGAGCTGGTTGTGTGCGAATCTCGAAATGAAACCGAAATGGCTTAGAAGAGACAATATCACACGGGTGAGAGGCATTTCTGTTGAAGAATTCATTACCAAGTTTGAGGAGCCGAATAAGCCTGTTTTGTTGGAGGGGTGTTTGGATGGTTGGCCTGCTATTGAGAAATGGTCAAGAGATTATTTGATTAAGGTGGTTGGGGATGTCGAATTTGCGGTTGGTCCAGTTGAAATGAAGCTCGAGAAATATTTTAGGTATTCTGATGGAGCTAGGGAAGAAAGGCCTTTGTACTTGTTTGATCCAAAGTTTGCAGAGAAAGTTCCGGTTTTGGATTCGGAGTATGATGTTCCTGTCTATTTCAGAGAGGATTTATTTGGTGTTTTAGGCAACGAGCGACCTGATTATAGATGGATCATAATTGGTCCAGCGGGATCAGGATCGTCTTTCCACATTGATCCTAACTCAACGTCCGCTTGGAATGCGGTGATTACAGGGTCGAAAAAATGGGTTTTGTTCCCACCGGATGTGGTTCCTCCGGGCGTGCATCCAAGTCCTGATGGAGCAGAAGTGGCCTGTCCTGTCTCCATAATAGAGTGGTTCATGAACTTTTATGATGATACTAAGAATTGGGAGAAGAAACCTATTGAGTGTATATGCAAAGCTGGGGAGGTGATGTTTGTACCTAACGGATGGTGGCATCTGGTGATTAACCTGGAGGAATCTATTGCTATTACTCAGAATTATGCTAGCAGGTAAAGTTAGTTTCTTTCCCACTGTCTCTTTGTCATATCCATTTTAGTAGATAAAAGTTTGACAACAGAAAAGAACAATAAATTGGAACAGCATCATTTTACTAGATTAAGTTCGTTTTCAGAAGTTATAATATGTTACTTAGCTGAAAACAAAAGTTTGAAAGGGGCTAAGATAGTAGACTGATGATACTAGAATATTAACTGTGTACATAGCACTCGAGATATTATTGTCACCAGAGAGATTAAATGTGTTTATGTAGCATTTATCTGAGAACTATTTGTGCATATCTGTATGGATCTAACTGGAGAAACAATACCTGTGCAGGAGTAATTTGTTGAATGTGTTGGAATTTTTAAAGAAACCGAATGCTAAAGAGCTCGTCTCCGGAACAACCGACAGAGAGAATTTGCATGACAAATTCAAGAAGGCTATTGAAGGAGCTTACCCAGGGACTATCCAAGAGTTAGAAAAGAAAGCAGAGGAAGCGAAAAGAGCCGAAGAACAAAGAGTTTCTTTCTGGGACTCTGCCAAAGCTGATGCTTTCAAGTTTTCTTTCTAAAGACAATCAATACATCATCATAAATTTTCAATTTTGTAAGATCTTCCAGATCCTTTAACAAATGCAGATGGAGGCAATTATTACCCTTATATTAGACTTAAAAATTTTTGTTTATGCTCTTTGCTACAAAATTTTGTCAAACTTTAAAAACAGAGGAAATCGACCGTTAAATGTTAGGTTCTTATAAAGTTGAGAACTTTTGGGCTCTTTTTGCCGAGAATGAGTAACATTGTGCTCAACACACTTCGTTTCAAACACCCGAAGCTTGCATTGCTCCAATCCTGCTCTTCCTTCTCCGACCTCAAGATCATCCATGGCTTTCTCTTACGAACCCATCTCATCTCCGACGTCTTTGTTGCCAGTCGTCTCCTCGCTCTCGCTCTCTGCGTTGACGACTCCACCTTCCACAAACCCACCAATCTCTTGGGATATGCATACGGAATCTTCTCTCAGATTCAAAACCCTAATCTTTTCGTCTTCAACGTACTCATTCGCTGCTTCTCCACTGGCGCAGAACCTAGTAAGGCTTTTGGGTTCTATACCCAGATGTTGAAATCTCGAATTTGGCCAGATAACATCACGTTTCCGTTTCTGATTAAGGCGTCTACTGAGATGGAGTGTGTGGTGGTGGGAGAGCAAACGCATTCACAGATTGTTAGATTCGGATTTCAGAATGATGTTTATGTAGAGAATTCTCTTGTTCATATGTACGCTAATTGTGGGTTGATCGCTGCTGCTGGTAGAATCTTTGGGCAAATGCCGTTTCGAGATGTGGTTTCATGGACTTCTATGGTGGCTGGGTATTGCAAATGCGGGATGGTTGAGGATGCACGAGAGATGTTCGATGAAATGCCTCACAGAAATTTGTTTACTTGGAGTATCATGATCAATGGGTATGCGAAGAACAACTGTTTTGAGAAAGCCATTGACTTGTTCGAACTCATGAAAAGGGAAGGAGTTGTTGCGAATGAGACGGTTATGGTGAGTGTGATTTCGTCTTGTGCTCATTTGGGTGCGCTTGAGTTTGGAGAAAGAGCACATGAGTATGTGGTTAAGAGTCACATGACTGTGAATCTTATTCTTGGGACAGCTCTTGTGGATATGTATTGGAGGTGTGGGGAAATCGAGAAAGCAATTCGCGTGTTTGAGGAGTTGCCTGACAAGGATAGCTTGAGCTGGAGTTCGATAATCAAAGGTCTTGCGGTGCATGGGCATGCTCACAAGGCAATTCATTACTTCTCCCAAATGGTTAGATTAGGGTTTAGCCCAAGGGATATTACACTCACAGCGGTTCTTTCAGCTTGCAGCCACGGTGGGTTAGTTGATAAAGGTTTAGAAATATATGAGAACATGAAAAGGGATTATGGGATCGAGCCTAGACTCGAGCATTATGGTTGCATTGTTGACATGCTTGGCCGTGCTGGGAAATTGGCCGAAGCTGAAAACTTTATCCTTAAAATGCCGGTGAAGCCAAATGCTCCTATATTGGGAGCATTGCTTGGAGCATGTAAGATTTATAAGAACACCGAGGTCGCAGAGAGAGTAGGAAACATGTTGATAGAGGTGAAACCAGAACATAGCGGTTACTATGTCTTGCTCTCTAATATATACGCCTGTGCAGGACAATGGGAGAAACTCGAGAGCTTGAGAGACATTATGAAGGAGAAGCTTGTTAAAAAACCACCAGGGTGGAGCTTAATAGAGATTGATGGGAAAATAAACAAGTTCTCCATGGGAGATGATCAGAAGCATCCTGAAATGGGTAAGATCAAAAGGTTGTGGGAAGAGATCTTGGGGAAGATAAGATTGATAGGGTATAAAGGAAACACAGGTGATGCGTTTTTCGATGTAGACGAAGAAGAGAAGGAGACTGCGATTCATATGCATAGCGAGAAACTTGCAATTGCATATGGTATGATGAAGACTAAGACTGGTACAACCATTAGGATAGTGAAGAACTTAAGGGTATGTGAGGATTGTCACACTGCAACAAAGCTTATCTCTGAGGTTTATGGTAGAGAGTTTATTGTAAGAGACCGCAACAGGTTTCATCATTTTAGAAATGGATTATGTTCCTGCAGAGATTATTGGTGACAGTCTTTGTTTTAGTAGTTCTTGTAGCGTTTTTTTTTTTTTTTTTTTTTTTAACAGCACAGCACAAGTTTACATAGTTACATATAGTATGTTTATTATTCTGTTTTCATAACAAAATTTTTTTTTTTTTTTTGGTAGCATATTGTAATTAAAAAGAAAACTTGGTAAACTTCTTTTTTTTTTTTTTTTTTAGTAAATCTTTCTTTTTAGCTCTAGAAAAATTATCTATGACAAATGTTGATTTTATTCTATGCAAAGGCGAATAAAAACGTCTTAAGGCCTCTAAGAAAAAGGTCTAAAAAGGCATAGAACCATAATTTCATTATCTGATTCCAAAAACCTTATGAGTGTAGACACTATGCATAACTAACGATATAGTACTTCTCTAAAATATATCTACATATACATTTTTATAGTACTTTTTTGCTTTAATTCTTTTGGATCCGGGTTTGACCCGGGTTTTAGTCTATTCGGATCTTGGATTAGCAATTTAAGGGATGTTGTCTTAATTTCAAACTAATAAATGAAGCCATGTTGTCTTAATATCTTTCATATTAATGACCCTAATAAATAGCCGATTTTAATAGAAAATCGTTTTCATATTTATGCTCATAATAAATATCCAGATTTTAACAATATAACGTATTTATTTTTTTAACAGTATATATATATATATATATATTATGTTAATAAATTTGTTTAATATTCTAATAATAAGCTATGTCATTTTTCTTTTACAATAACAGATTAAATATAGGCAATTGCCCATTTAAATTGCAATAAATTTAAAATCAAAATAACAATCTATATATATATATATTTTTGCAGGGGGTTTTTGCTTTTAATAATTTGGATCCGGGTTTTACTCGGTTTTACTATATCTGGATCTTGGATAAGACATTTAAGGAAATCTAAAAAAAATCGTCATTAATGTAGATAATTACACATATATTTCGGTATAAGCATATTCCAAAAATCTCTCCTAAATCAAAGATATTACGTTCAAAAATTGTTGCCAAAAATCTCTCGCTTTCCTTCTAAAATCTCTACCATTGGCTGTCATCCCAACTAATTACTCATAATTATCTTTCCTATATTTCTTTTTTTTTTCGAAATTTGCAAGAAAATTACTCAATTCCAAAAATAAAAGATTTTGAAGATATTGTTACTTGATCAGCAAGATTTTAGGAGCCTCACTCACCCAAAACCCTATAGTATTCTCAAAACATTATAAATACCTTTCATTAGTCTAATAAAAACTCACCAGTTTTACAGAAAATGAGAAATCGCAGACGTGATGCAATCTGTACGGACTCCGGGAAGAGCTAGGAGATAGTGGTGAACCGGGATCTAAACCTCGCCGACGATGTGAAGATGGTGACGAGGAGGAGATCGTAATTCTTTAGGTTTCGATTGGCAAAACAAGACGATCGGCGATCCAAAGCTCCACCGCCTGAAACGCAACATCGAATTGATCACACCGAATATCTTCAGATTTCGGATATGCTTTTCCGGTGGTAGCTTCAAAATACACGCCGAGAACTCCTTGATACGCTACACGGAGAGTAGATCCATGCGTTTTGCTGTAGCTTTGAAGAAACAAGGCTCAGATCGACGGAGCCGTTACTGTGACCGTTAACGACGGTGACTTCATCTGCTAAACCACCGATGATTGAGTTTGAACTTTCCGTTTCTAAGTTTTCCATTTTGGGTATATGAAAGAGTTGAATAAACACAATTTGGGCTCTGTAGGTCTTTACAAAATTGGTAGACATGATTCTTTGTTATTGGGTTCTAATACTCTGTGTTTATTTTTTCATTATGTGAACTAATGAAAGTTGCATACTTAATTTTTTTTTCATGGCAGTTCTAAACATATTATTTTTAATATTTGTGATTATATAACAATAATAGGTTAGTGTTAATTACATGGATCATTAAGGTTTGAATAGTGATAAAATAATTAGAAAATACAAATAAAATAACAAGGCCGGTGCAAAACTATTAATTCAGACCTTAATTATCGGATCAGTTCAAGCTTTAACCCATGTCTTTTTCTGAAATTGCTAAAAATAAGTAATGTTCTCAAATAAATTCAAATATCAAATCTTCATAAATACATTAAATACGTAAGATTTAAAATTATGGAGCAATCTTTTCTAATTAAATTCAAAAATTTCTAATTGATATATTTAAATTTTTTGGCTTTTGTTTGCCCATTTAGCTATGGTTTTTGAGTTTTTATAAAATAGTTTTAAATATTACGGGACGAATTGTATGACACAGGTTTGGTTAGGATTGATATTAATATAAAATTAAAATATCACTAATATATCGCTATAACACATATTAAATCCTCATTTTATTATTTAAAATTTAGCATACGGTATACCGCGGGTAAAATCAGTATAAGACGGGTTAAATCAACATCTTATTCAAAATCATACAATTGAATCTATTGTTTTTATACTACGTCTATCTATAAAATTTCAATTTTTGTAATAAAATTTCGTCTCACGGTGTATTATACATTTAAATTAAACAAAAAAATAGTATATATCTATAGAGTATCTTAAAACAAAATTTAATAAATTTTTCTAATAAAAATATAGACCCGCGGTATACCGCGGGTTAACATCTAGTTAATGGTAATAATTATAGGCTTTTAGCAAATAAAACTCCAAATAAAAACGAGAAGAGGGGCGGTGCCGTCCTCACGGAGAAGAAGCCACGTGACTAAGACTCTTTTTTTGTTGGTCCTATCACCAAATGCGAAGCTAAGACATACCTCTTTCTTTTTTTAATTTACGGATCCGATTGAAATTTTCCTAACGAAAATGTATGAAAAAAGCAAATTTTATTGGTGAGTGATGGAAATATCGAAACCAAACTCGTCCACTGACACTTGCATTGCATTCAATTATTGTTTAAACCAGTTCGAATTCTAAGTTAATTATTATATGATATGTACCTTAACAAAAGTTTATGTCATGTGTTTTAATTATAATAAACGATTAGGGAGAAAAAAAAAAGGAGGTGGCGCGCCAAGTCGACAACTAACGTTTCAACGACCGACCAGACAGTGTGGGGAACGTCGAGGGCTCTTTGAGTCTTGACTCATCTTCGCACTTGTCTTGCCACATGGATGCATCTTTGTGGCTCTTTGTCCCTACGTAGACATGTATCCTCGAAACTATTTATTAGATTCGTGTGTAATATAATAGTCTAACGAATTAATTGTTGAACGAGGATTTTTATTTTATTTTGGGTTTAAAACTGAACGTGGATTTCCATAGATACAATAAAAAGAGGATACACCACAATACTTTGATTTTTAGTTACATAAATATTTTTGATTAGATCATTTACGTATGGTTTCGTTTTATAACACAAACGCCACAGATGGTAGAATTAACGTTTTGTCTTTGTGTTTATCCCGAGTTGGCTAATATGTAAACGCAAATACAGATTTTTCTGGTTATATATCTTTCATATTTACGTTCAGAAATAACGAAATTAATTTTGTTTAAAATGTCTAAGACTGTGATTCTTTTTAAACAAAAAAAAAAACACTATATCATAACATGTAAACGCAAACAAACAATCGAAGACGTTTAGGCCATAAGGATCCAATGAAAAAGAAACAAAACGTAGGTATCATCAGTAGAAGCCGTTTATCTCTTGAGAAAGAAGAAGAAAACAAAAAGTTGGGCCTGCTTCATTTATTGGCTTTGTGATTTAAGACATCGATCCTTGACAAAATCACAACCTGTCCGTAGCTTTCTTGCACCACTGTACGTGACTACACATTGAGGCAGTACAAACACTTACACATAACGTACCAATTTATAAATTCAATTATAGTGTTGACCTCACATGGAATTTATTTATTATAGTACATTTGGTAGGCGTAAGTCAATTTAAAGTCCATTGAAAGGAAAATTGTTCTTCAAAACAATCATGGGTTTGAACCACATCCCAGATTTAGAAATCAATATACACCACTTAAACTAATTCCTATAAGTTTTGACAAAAACAAATCACTACAAATATATACGTTTCGGGTCCTCTTTACATTTTAGTACATAAAAAGAAGGCTTAGCAATCATAGAATAAGTTTTAGTTTTATTTTTACTTCTTTGTGGTCCAGAATTTGTTAGATCCAACGGTATATTTTTTTGGATAAACTTGACGTCACCCAAAATAATTTCACAACTATTGTGAACCAAAAAAAAAAAAAAGGATTTCACAACTATATTATTATGAAAGGAACAAAGCTAGATACAAGGACCATCCATATTGGATCTAGTACTATATATATCTTAGTACCTTATAAAACATTTTGTGTGACGTCAAATTTTACAGGAAGCAATTCATTATAAGATATAAAAAAAAAAGAGTAAAAGAATCAGAAAAAAAATAATGCGAGGCCTGTTTTACCAATACTTCGCAATAAAATTAATTAACTATTGCATCGATTATGTGATGTTTCTTATAACAAACTTTCTTTCGATAAAACCAATTATGTGATGTTAACACAGTCGAGATTGAATCAAAATAATATGAGGCTAGATTTACCGATATAATAACCATTATAGACGTAATATTCACGAAGATGTGACGATAAAAATCTGTAACGAAAGCTAAATAAATCTCAAAACTAACCAAAAAAAGAAAAAGAAAATAAAAGCATTTGAGTACAAAACATATTCGGCAGGAAGAAAGCATCCAAAACCAGCTTTTTAGGAAGTGCCCTGTCCCGTAGGTAACATGAGATTCAACTAAAGCCTCAAAATATTTTTGTCCATTTTCCAAACACACAAAATTAACATATAAAACATAACTGTCCTTTTTATTTTATCTTCTTTTGCTGTCTTTCATCAGGGCTAATCTGATAAGCTAATAAGGTTAAGAAAATTTTAATGCAAAAAGTTTTGGAGTCGGGGAAAATTATAAAAATAACTATTACTCTTGATTGATACCTTTTTTCTTTTCTGCAATGTCAACAGAATTATGGTATGGATACATAAGTACGTATATAATA